TTTCTTTCTTTCTTTGTGGTGTTCGTTGTTTCTTTCTTTCTTTCTCTTTCTTTCTTTCTTTCTTTCTTTCTTTCTTTCTTTCCTTCCTTCCTTCCTTCCTTCCTTCCTTCCTTCTTTCTGGTTTTGAGTCTGGTTCTGGGACATGGTCTCACTAGGTAGTTCAGGCTGGCCTTGAACCTACTGTATAATCCAGTGGCCTGGCCTTGAACTCACAGAAATCCTCCTGTCTCAGCCTCCTGAGTGCTGGGATTACAGGCATGTGCTACTATGCTTTATAATTGATAAAATCTTTTAGTGTCTTTTTTTTTTTTTTTTCTTGTACTGGGGATTGAATTTGGGACCTTGTGCTTGTGAGGCAGGCCGCGGAACCACTGTGCTAAATCCCTGGCCCCACTCACTTCTAGTGTTAAGAGTTTTTATGGAGGATTCTGAAGTAAGCTTGAATTTTTATCATACTTGCTGTATTCTTTCTATTTGTATTAAAAATATATCTTCTTGTAGACTATAATATTTTAACTTTTCTAGGCAGGGATTTTAGCTCAGTGGGACCTTGCAAGGCAAGTGCAAGGTCCTGCGTTTGATCCCCACCCCCAAAATAAAAAAATATTTCAGCTTTTCCTTGACTAGATAAATCTGTATATTGAAAACATTTTTTTTTCTAGAAAGATTTGGTAGGTAAAAAGGTATATATTTGGTTTTTATGACAGGCACAATATTAAAGAAAATAGTTTCTCACAGTCTAGCAAATCTAAATGTGTTTATATTCCAAATTATGGCATGTAGTTTTGTATTCTATCATGACGTTTGTTAGATAAGTATTTAAAATATTTATTTGCTATAGTAATAGTCCTGTAGCTGATGTGTTCACGTATGTGGATGCCTTTAGATTACTCTTAAAAATTTCTTGGTGTGATTTCCTAGATCAAAGAATAAAAGTATGCCTCTAGTCAAGGTAGTCCCTATTTACCTGAGGGAAATATTGTTCCAAGGAAGCTTGAAACTAGGGATAGTAGTTAACAAATCCTACATAGGATGTGACTGAAAACCATGGAGAAAGTATAAATAAAAATGTATTATATTAAAAGACATTTTAGCATTAATCCCACTTTATATTTCTTCCTGCTTCAAACCTGCCCATTGTTCTTGCCACTTTCTGAACCAGTGCTGGAAGTCTTCTTTCATGAGCCCCTTTTAGGAGGTGTGATCGAAAATACAGTGAGTGGGGCCGGCCAGGGATTTAGCTCAGTGGTTCCACTGCCTACCTCACAAGCGCAAGGTCCTGAGTTTGATCCCCGGTACCAAAAAAAAAAAAAATTTTATAGAATGATATACCAATAGAGCTATAGTAAATGATTACTCTTTGCTTAGTTCTCAACATTTATATCACATCATATTACATTATAAACTCCTTTTCAATTCATTTTGTTAGTGGTTCTCAAATTCTTTTTTAGAACTCCTGGGCTGAAGTGATCCTCCTGCCTCAGCCTTATGAGTAGCCAAATTCTTTAGATAAAAGTAAAACACTTCCATAAGACAAGAAATCTCTTACTCCACAAAAAATACCCTACTACTTTGCCACTGAAAAAAAAAACAATCACCAGAGGACAAATAGTGTTGTTTTCATTGAGACACTACAACCATCAGAAATCTAGAATTAACTCACACCAGACACAAATGAATAGATGAAAGGTTTTTGTTTTTTTTTTTTTTTTTTTTTTTTGTACGGGGGATCGAACTCAGGTAATTCTGCTTTCGAGGCAGGCGGCGGAACCACTGAGCTAAATCCCCGGCCCAAGATGAAACTTTTTCTAGACATCGACACTTTAACAATTCTAGTCCCAAAGACTTCTAGGAGATCTCTTTTTAGAGACTCACTAACATTATTTTTCATTTTTAAAAATTTTGTTATTTTTGTTTTTGTTACACAAGTTTATATTGTTTTCCTCACTTTATTCTGGGTTGTTTCTTCACATTTTTTCTCCTCTCTTGGATCTCTTTTTCTCCTACCCTTCCATTATTCAGTGTACAATGTAGAGTTGGTTAGGCATTTATAATAACAAATGCTCCCAATTGCCCAGATAAAAGGGCACCCTCAACTTTCAATAATGGCTTCTGCTTTGATTTGCCTTCTGGCACAAGGAATTACCTAGTTAAGTTTATTGAGAACAAAATGGCTGTCAGGCCAGAGTAGAGGAATGTCATTATTTCAAAGCATATTCCTTGTCCTTGCCAGAGAGTACTAATGCTATACTTGTTCTGCATAAGAAACAAACAGTGCAATTGGCAAAGAGAAAATGCAATTGGCAGCTTTTACCCCAAATTTGGGAAGCTGCCCTTCAAAGAATATCTTGCCAACGAGGGGGGGGGGAGCGCGCTCAGAAACCCTTTGACCCTGCCCCTTGTAAGCCATAGGAGGGAAATTCCAAAAGGGCTTTCAAATCTTTCTCTTCTGTCCTTTGAAATGTGACATGCACTTTTCCTTACCCTCCCCCTTTCATTTTTCCTCTTTCTTTTTGTGGCCCTTTAAAAGATACCTAAGCTCTGAGAATAGTGAGTTGTTTTCTTTCAATTTGTGGAACAAAACTTAGCAGATGAACAAATAGCAATTTTAGAACGAGCACTGACCTGGGAGAAGGGATCTTGGTTTTTACCACTCTGGGCTGGTCAAGTCACTTAGTTTCGCTGAACCTGTTATAAAAGAGCTAGAATCTCCTTAGTTCTGTGAAAAGGACAGCCTTTATGGGCTTCACTGAAACAGAATTTCCTTCCTAAGCAAAATTATTAATGAAGAGAGTTTTCTATGTTAACTTCTAAATAGACCTAGACCTCTCAGGTGTTTCATTATTGCTGTCTGCAGGTATAACTTGAGTGGCCTCACCTTACTTGCTCCTGTGCTTGCCTTGTGCCTGATCAACCCTACCCATGTCTTTCATCCAGAATTAGGTAGTAGAAGGAATCATAATCTCTCTGTTATTGTTACCTGGTTAGGACCATTTTGATCCTTTACAGTATAGGTAAAAATTCAGCTGCTAAAGAATGTGACTGGCAAATGGCATTGCCCTCTTTTCTCCTATGTTCCTTTACGATTACCCTTAATAATTTGTACTCGTTTGCATTCATAATTCTAGAGAGGAAGGAAACCAGGACTACGGTAATCTTCCCTTTTAAGAGCAGATAAATCATAAATGATGGAGTAGATCAAACATAGAAGGGATTAATTAGTTCAAGAGAAAGGAGAGGAGGTTCCAGTGGTAAAAACATACCATGAATTTCATGTCTGAGTTTATCACTATGGTCTGATTGACTGAACTTTTTTCCTTTTTGTGGATTAAACCTTAATAAATCTTAGCTTATTCCTTTTGAACCAATCATTTTAATACCTTCACAGAACCCTCACCTCTGAAGAGTTCATTTTAAGAATATTTATACCTTTCCCTTTCCTCAAAGCGAAGTAGTCGCCACAAGGGTGAACACTTGGGATAGTGAATCTTTTCCTCCTGTTTGTCTTTTCATGAGGAAGGAGTAGAGGAAGCATCTTCAGTGCCCATAGGGATCATTTATTCTTTTTTTAAATTTAGTTTTATTTTATAGGTACATGTTTGCAATTCATGCAATTTACAATCACCTGGGGGAGTGGTTACATGGACATATTACAGCTAGTTTTTTTCCTAATCCCCTTTCCCTTCCCTCCTTCTCCCACTCCCCCTCTGGTTCTCCTATCCCCTTTTTTGTACTTGTTGAGATTATTTGTCTCTATATTATGGCATACAGTATTTACATCGATTGGGGTTATTAGGATCCTGTACACGGCAGGCACATCTTTAGTCCTCTCTTTTCCCTGCCCCTCCTCCTCACCCCTCTCTTTGTTCCCTTATTCTTTCATTGCCCGTAGCAGGGAAAATCTGTTATGTAGATTTCGGTGCTAAAAAGAAACCATTGGAGAGATAGTACACCGAAAAATAGTTATCTCAGGCCATGGGATTATGAGAATGATTCCTTTTTTGGTGTTTTTTTTTTATGCTTTTCTAAATTCTCTAAAATTGCTATAAATAATCAAAGAAAACATTGCATAAAAAGACACAGCATTTACCATTTCTCTCTATCAGGAGAAAATTATACTTGTGTACATACATAGGTAAAAGAGATGCAAGCATACTTTGCTGTTTCTCGGCAGTAATGCTACAAATACATTATAGCAAATTAATGTCCAAAATGAGCACAATGACCTCATCGTTCCCCTCATTCTTTAGGGGTAATTGCAGTTCCCCATTTGGTGGCTTCAGATGCTCGTTAGTCCCTGGATGCGTTTCTTGGATCCTTGTTTTTGTCTTCCCGCAGAAGTAGTCACTAATCAAATATTTCAGCGCTTTCAGAAAGCTGTATGCTAATGATGATCTTTGAATGGAGAGGACTCTTTTTGGAACAGAATAATTATCTTCTCATTTTTATAACTTTAGATGGTGGTAGAGATTTAGTGTAATGTTTTCACCTAAAAATGGCATTCAGCTCAGAGTCAGTATCTTGAGAAAAACACAGTTGATGTCATTAATATTTTCAGTTGTTGATATTAGGTTCTCATCATGAAACTGCTGTCAAAATGAACAGAATTCTGTGCACTTGGCAGTCTTGCCTAAAAGCAAAACCCAAGACTGGAATAGCAAGAATTCATAGGTCAAGGCAGAAGGGCATTTGGCAGAGTTAGTCATAAGGAAGTCTGCCTGGTACACTTTACCCAAAGCACCTCATAGTGCATTAAGCTGAAATGTTTTAATCACTTTAAAGAATGAATAAGGAGTAGTCCTATCCAAAAGAGCTAGGAAAAACAGAACACATTGAAAATATGGGAATTAACAACATTAACCTATTAATTTCAAATTACTCATAATGTTAAAGCTGTTTTCATAGGTACAGTTGATTTCTCATAGAATTATTTTGCCTAAAATAAATAATTAAATGAGTTAATTTACTGGTTATGTTTTATAGGATGGAAAAATTTCCAAGTTAGAAGTGTTTGTAGCACTTAGGTAGTTCAACCCTTAGGTAGTTCAATTTATAAGTGAGGAAACTGAGGCCCAAATCACTTACTGAGTTAGAAGGAGAATCAACCCTCAAGTGTTTAGGTTTCTTCACCATGGAGCAAGCATTATTAGTTCTAAGTTCTTTCTGTCAGTGTAAATAATGTGCTTTGATTCTAAATTTTGTTTTTCAGGAATTGGAAGAGGCGCCTAAAGTAATGGATGCTCGAAGAAAACACTGGAAGGAGAATATGTTTGCGCCTGTTCCAGAAGAGGCTTCCCAGCTTGAATCTTCTTCTGAACAAATAGCTGTAGATAAGACCAAGAGAATGGAAGGAATTTATAATTTCTCCAGTAGAAAGTTTCAACAAGAAAATAAATTTAAGAGGAAAGAATATATTTCCCAACTAAATCAAAAGAACCAAATTTAAGAGAGAGAGGGATAAACATGTCAAAGAATGAAGCGGACAGAAATTCTGCCTCTTGTGAATCATATAATTTCTATGTTGTGAGCAAAGAAAGTTTTAACAGAAGAGGCAATCCCTCTACCTAGTGCAAAAAGGAATTATCAACTACATTATGACAAGGTATGAGGAAGAAATTGACCAAAGGAATGGCCCCCAAACTTAACCTGAACCTTTTGAATAAAGAAGTAGAAGAACTCAATATGAAATGCAGAAAAATAGAAGAGGAATACAAAAATGCTGAAAAAGAACTTTTGAACTTTAAAAGAGAAGTCTCTACAAAATCCCTAAATTTTCAGGAATCGGGGACAGATACTTTGAAGAAAGACTGGGAACTTCAAGCTTTAAAAAATGACTTATCTGAAAAAACAACAGATGTTAAAAACTTAACTGAAGAGCTCCAACAAGCCAAAGAAGTCATCCACAAGTTGAACCTAGAAAACCGAGATTTAAAGCAAGCAGTTAGGAAGCTAAAGCGACAAACTGAACTAGGAAATGTGCTCCTGAAAGAAGAAATGAAATTGTATTATGAATTAGAAATGGAAAAAATTCATGGTGAGCTCGATGCCATCAAGAATGAACTGAGAGCTGAGAAGATCCTGCAGGCGAGAAATAACAGAGCCCTGGAGTTGCTTAGGAAACACTTTGCTTTGGTGGTCAGATCACCAAGTACCTTTGAGCACTTTTCCAGGGAACTTTTTTAAACTTAAAAAAGCCTTTCATTAGGCAAGTTATTGAGCCAAACCAATGTTCATTGTACTACTTTGTGTATTACTCAAAATGTATGTAATAGAATACAATTTTCACTGAATCAGAGTGTCTGTAAAACATATAGATGTTAACTTCAAAGCTTCTGTTTCCTCTTTCTAATGAAGTCATTGCGAGACTCCAAATGGAAATGAAATCTCAGAAATCTTTTTATATACACACAAATATATTCAGTATATATATATGTGTGTATATATATATATGTATATATATATATATGTATGTATATTTCACTCAAAAACACATAGTGATTTGCCAGAACATTTACAAATACAAATCAACAGTCATTTTGTGATCTTGTGAGTAATATGTTCTTGACCCATAAATATCTTCCCATCTATGTTCATGGTTGTTAACAATAAAACTCTTGTTTATGTATATAAGCATAGCATACGTCTATGAGTTTTGTAGCTGCCTATTCTAACTCAATAGGATACCCAAAATGTAGCTGCTTTCTTCGGGGTCTAACCTTAATTAGGGACATGGAAACTTCTCAGGGAAAATGCAGGTTTTTTCTCCCCCCTGTTATTTTCCGTATGTTTTCTCCTTTGACCTGGCTACCATTCCCATAGACTAGGAGAGGACTGAGAGACATTGCTGTGACTTTGCTGAGAGCCCTGTCAGCAGTGGCTTTTGCACTTTCTCATGTTGGTCAACAAGGGGAGTTGTCTACAAAGGTCTTTCAAAATCGAACGGGGAATATTTCTAAGATCTTTGCCTGGCTTGTATCACCAGGCTAGGACTGTAGTGAAAGGTGTTGGATGTTATGTAGGTAAACTTTTGCTGAGCTGGCTTGATTTACATGGCCACATGGCACCGTAAGGGACTCAGGCAATGACAATTTGTTTTATACTTAGAGTACAAATGTACTGCCTCCATCCTATGGTGGAAGGGATGGGACAGCTGATTCTCTGTATTTGTATCAGTCATCAAGATTTCTTATAATCAGAGTTCTGTGTGCATGGTGTATTAAAGCTCAATGAACCAAATGTAATCGCTGACTACAAGGATGGCACACAATTGTCAGGTTTCAGGTATTTTTCCTGGTGAGAAGATTCCCAAACTGGGAGGCAGAATACTTGATTTCTAGTACCTGCTCTCTATTAACTAGTTAATTAACCTTCTAGCCATAAAAGTACTCATCTGTGTATGTGCTGCCGAAGCGAGCATAGAAGTCCTCATCTGTAAACAGAGGGAGCAGAAGTGTGCTCAAGATTCTGTTCAGGGCTAGGTGTGGTTGCACACACCTGTAGTCCCAACTACTTAGGAGGCTGAGGACTGCTTGAGCCCAGGAGTTAGGAGTCAGTGTGGGTAATATGGCAAAACCCTGTCTCTTAAAATAAACATTCTGTTCCATTTTAATGCTCTGTTATTTCACCTCAATGAGTTTATATGCAAGTATAACTGTACCTGTAATGAAGTAAAATTCTGATGGTGTCAGGTGCATTCAGTTCTAATACCTTAGAAGACCTACTTTGCAGATCTCCCTATCAAAGTTTTCCCATGATAATTTGGTTTATCTTCCCCAGTGTGCTGTGTACTTGGGGAGCTAGGAAAGAATGTGGGAAGGGAGGTCCACAGAAGACAAGTTCATGGCCTAGCCCAGCTTTAGGGTGGGGTGCTGTATTTCTATGATGGAACTGGAATACAGATTCTTGATGAAACGGCCTGGGACACAGAGACCCAGCAAAGTTTGCCTAAATGAAGGGCCCTATGGGAAGCCACCATCCAGACCCACAGCAGGGAGATGACATGCAGTCCCCAAGGTCAGAAGGGAAAGGAGAAAGAGAAGCCAAGCTCATTGAACCAACACACAGTCGATCCTTTCTCCAAAGAAGCACTATAGCATAGAGATTAAGTGCACAAACTAGTTTTTCATTTAGCTGAGTGACCTTGGGCAAGTTGCATAATTTTCTTGAGCTCAGTTTCCTCTTCTTGTAAAATGCGGTCACATCAAAATAAAAGCAGGGCTGGAATAGTCTGGGGTAAAGTGAGGAAGTTAGTGCTCCTCTTCCTGGGCAGAGGAGAACAGCAGTGAGTTGAAACAGTTTAAAGAACCAGAGTTAAGGCAAACACAGATACCGTGTCCCAGTGCCTCTCTAATTGCTCTCATTTGATGCCTTTGGTGTCCCCTCCCAATTTTGATGGGAATAAATTGTCACTGTATCTTCTAATACTGAATGGGGCATATGGAGGTGTTTTATTTTTTAATGTGGGTGGCACTTGAGGGCACTCATCCCTTTAACTAAGCTGCTGGGTAAAATATTTGAAGTCAGCAGTGTAAACATACATTATTCACTCTCAATTCCCAACTCCTTACTTAAGAAGATTGGGCTCTCAGAGTGCTCTAGGAAGTCTGCCTCACCTTGGGTTCTCATTCTATAAACATTTACTGAGCACTTATTACCATAGATCATTAGTTCTAATAAATGTCTTTTAAAAATATTTTGGTATTCTTGAATTTGGGATATATCTTAAAATTAACGGTTTCTCATAGTACACTTGTCTGTGTTATTTTCTTAGTAGTTTGTGAAACAATAGTGTTTCTTACAAGCAATGTAGTTTTTGCTTTTTTTTTTTTTTCCTGAAACAAGGTATTGCTACATAGTTCAGGCTGGCCTCAAACTTGTGACAATCCTCCTGCCTCAGTCTCCCAAGTGTTGGGATTACAGGCATGCTCCACCATGCCTGGCTAATCAATGCAGTTTTAGATCTGGTAAAATATGGTATTTGCTAGGCTGGGGAATCTGAGAATAAAAGGATTTATGAATAGGATAGGACTCTGATCTCAAGGACCTTACTCAAGTAATTAATTAAACAATGCAGTGAAAGCTATTCTAGCAATACTAATGTAAAGAGCTGTGGAAACACACAGGAGGGCCAAATAATTCAGCCTGTGGGGCTGAGAAGGACTTCATAAAAGAGGTGACAATTGAGCTGGGTCTTAAAGGATAACAAGGGTCTTTCTAGGCAAAGCATGGGGGTAGGGGATGTGAGTGTGAAGGTGTATTTAGCTTCAAAGTGGACTTGCAACAGCAATGGATTAGAGTACTGGATGTGATATATTGCTGATTTTTAAAGTCCTATTAGAGGTTCTATTCTGCAAACTACTGTGAATTCCAACTCTTTTGCTCATGTGCAGATAGACTGGACAATGAAATTCTCAAGACATAAAATCCAGGTTTCAGACAACAAGAACAGGAAACAATTTTGCTAATGTCACTGTGCCTTCAGAAGCCATCATTCTTGTTTTGGAAACAAAAGACACTTCAGTCGTAAGATTCAGTCAAGTTCACTGTGAGCAGTCTCATTTCAAAGTTGATCCTTTCTCCAAAGAAGCACTATAGCATAGAGATTAAGCACACAAACTGGTTATTCACTTATTAGATGAGTGATCTTGGGCAAGTTTCATAATTCCCTTGAGCTCAGTTTCCTCTTCTTGTAAAATGGGGCCAAAAATAATATTCTTGGGGGTCATGGATTTAGTTCAGTGGCTCCACGCCTGCCTCACAAGTGCAAGGTCCTGAGTTGATCCCAGGTACTGAAAAAAAAAAAAGGATTCTTGGGAGAATGAGATGAGATCACATAGAGTCAAGAAATGTTTCTTTTGTTGTTATTGTTACTATTATTACCTGACAAAGGGAAATTGACCAAGTACATCTGTCTTCTCCTAGCTATTACTCTTATTAAGTGCTTTACAATTATTGTTTCTCAAACTGGGTTCTCTGGAAAGCATACAGTGAACTCATTCATAATGTGTATATCGATAATACATGTGTATGTTTAGGGTGGTAGAACAAGTTTCAGAAAAGATAATTTGAGTTTACTAATATGTGAGGCCTTAATCCAAAGTAAAGAATCTGTTGGATGGCCTTTCATTCTGTCAAGGGAATTTCTTGGGTCAGAACCTAGCAGTAGGGAAAACTCATCTAGGAAAAGGGATGGAGACAAGAGAGGCTATTCTAGTGGTTTGCATTTCCGGTTGGCACAGGAAGCTGCGCAGCCAGGGAGTCAGTACTATAGCTGCTCAGATCAGACTAAGTCATTGTCTTGTTCTTTGTATTTCAAAGATACTGACGCTGCAGCTAGCCATGTATTGTAGGTATATCATCCTTTGCATACTGCATGCCAAGCTGGTGGCTCCCCAGTGTAGTGGTCGGAGGTCTCTGTCTCTGTTTCTCTCTCTCTCTCTCATTTCTGACACTTTTGATCACACACATTCTTGATGATTATCATGTTTCACTGGGCTTGTGTTGTCATTCTCCAGGAGACTGTCATTTCCTAGGAAATCTGATTCTCTGAGGATGTGTTCCTGAGTGTCCTTGAAGCATTTCTTTTGCCTTTCAGTCCATGCCTATTGACTCCACAACACGTGTTGTTATGTACATTCCACATCCTAGAGATTTTACTTATGACACTATTACCCTTGTCTGAATTTGTACTATTGTGTCGAGCCCACTTACAAAACTTTATTATGTCACACATTTTCATATACATCATCTCATGCGGTATGCATAAAAATCCCTGATTGCTATCCAGGGATTTGCAAATCCAATCCAAATCCCTGACTGTTACAGATAAGGAAACCAAGGCTCAGAGATACTAAATGACTTATCAGTATCACACAGCTAATAAGTGCTGGGTCTGGGATTCAAACCCAGTCTGTCCAATTCCATTATGATGCTTGTTCCATTATATCAGGACACATTTTGTGCTAAAATTAATGAGCCAAAGTTCAATCACCATAGAAGTTATTTAACATTCTCAAAGACAAGCTGGTTTAATACTGCAACCTAGACTCAAGTCAGCCATCTCATAAATGGTTGAAATGAGCAGTAAAGGTGCATCTTATTATTAGACAGATCATAAAATGTATATGTTCTCCGACAGTAGCTTAGTAGGACAGAGTTTTCTCTTCTTATCATCACTAAAAGAACTGGGACAGTAACGTCAACAAAAACTATTGAAGTATGAAGCTCAGTTGACAGTTCTCTAAGTACAGCTCCAGCATTCATGGAACCCAATTCATAAATAGCCCTGAGTCTTTGATTTGGAGTCTGATTTTTTTATCAGTCAAAATTAATCATTTTTTAGCCAATATTTGTTTCCTTGGACCATTTGCCTCCAAATGTATTATCATTGAAAGCCAATTAGTATTTGAGAAAAAGAAATATTGTAAAGCCACTTAGAAACTGTTAATTATACCCTATGATTTTTATGTTTTTCTCATTCCTTCCTTGACTCCTTGGTAATTTTTCAAAGTTCTAATAAAGCAATTATATTCTGCTCACTCCTAACTGAAGCAATTCTCAAAAAATATTTCAGGATCTTTTTATTAAAAATATCTTCAATAACAAGACAAAATATTTTCCTTAAAATTTACAAATTTATTCAAGATTGTAC